TACTGCCATCATTCTTAGGTAGTTTTGAAAAGGGCTTATATTCCTTATTGGTATCAGGTGCGCGTCCAATCTGATCCTGCGGGGCGCTTGGTTATATCTGGTCAACCAGAACAACTGGATAATCCTTGGGGCGTCATTCCATTCAAAAAGGTAACTTGGTTGGTTATTACCAAATCTGATGATGTGAGTTTCAATGGGTGCGAGCTGTAGTTTAAAAGTATGAGTCGTATTTTGTCAGTCTTTAAATATTTCATTACAATTGCTGCATTTATTAACTCACAACGCAAATTTTTTTCCCTATATGACATTAAAACTTGTCTTTGTTTCCAGGTAGTCACCTTGCCCACAAGAATTGATCCTCATCAGACGTCAGCTGTCGTGACCCTTCATGGGCAGCTGTTCGTTCGAGTGCCCTTTGAACAGTCAGATATATAGAAGGTAGTTTTAGTTTAGTTGTGTTGCACTTTCTCGAATGACATCTTTTGGGATCTGTGAAACACTTTCTAATTTAGCAAATTTTAGCCATACTTCCAGTTTGTATTTGCACTGCGTATCTAAATAGAAATGATGTTATTTGCCTACACTTTGTATTATACCTCGTGGATGACATAACTGAGGATATTAAGTCTTAATCAATCTTTTGAAAACTGATTTGGGTATATTGACCCAAAAAAGGCATAGGCTCAGGGTCAAAATGTCGAATTGGGAACGGACGGATTATAATAAATTAAGGAATAAATGTACCAAATTTTTTTAGAAAAGTACGTTAATTATTTAAAATTAATTAATACATGTAGCTAAAAGACTTAAATTTGACTACATTAAATTATCATTTTATCCACTTCTAATCTCAACTAAATTGAGACGTTGGACAAAGTTTCGACATATAATTTATATAGCATTTTAGTCTATGTTCAGGTGGCACTTTTTTATTAAAAACTTAAAATGTTACTTATCATTGTCAAAAATTGACCACATATTTCAAGAAAAGAAATAATTTATTGAGGAACAAGTTTTCTTATACAATTATTCAAATAAAAATTGCAATGGAATAAGTGTTGTCAGAAAGTGTTAACCTTGGATTTTGTCATATGTACATTCTTCCTTCAGCGTCATTGTTGTGTTTTCAAAAAATGTGGGAGGGAAAGTTATTTTCTATCTTAAAAAAAAAAAGGGAAAGAAAGAAAGAAAAATCAGTGAATGAGAGTTTGTCATGTGTGCAGACTGTCAAACTTTGTTTATTTTAGTTTAATTTTTTTGGTGACTCAAGTGCTTAAGTTTCGTCCAGCTAATTGTGAGGTCGCCCGCCCTTCTAGTAAATCTGGATACGATCATAACTATACACTTGGGCTGGGCGTTTGGAATGCAATTCTCCTCCATGTGGACTTCCCTTACAAGGTGTGGGTAGGACCCTTGGAGGGAAAATGCGCAACATAACTTTGCCATTACAACTCCTTAGAACTCTCTTCAAGTGGAAGGCAGGTGGGGTAGCTCTTTTCGAAGAAAGATTCAATCGACCTATTGTGAAATGCTAAGAGAGAATTCTTGTTATTTTTATTCACTGAATGAAGGAAAACATACTGTTAAATACATACAGGCAGCCAATTAAGACTCCCAGTAATTTTGGTACATACCAAATTAGTCATCTACTAAACTAGGAAAAACTAATTAGAGAGAAATCAGGTAACAACTTACCTAAATTCTCATTTAACATAAAATAGTACTAAGCAGCTAAGTATGGAAAATATTCCTAGATCCTAGGAGTAACCTTATTTGGAATCTCTACACTCTCCCTCACGTTGGGTTGTATATGTTGACCATGCCCAGCTTGTTGATCAGATCATCGA